AATTGCAACTTCCATGTCTGTAACCGCGTGACCAGAGAGATTGAAGTGTTCTCCGACTGGTTTATGAATGTTATAATTCTTGACATCTGATTTGTGTCCATTTATTCTTTTACGTAGAGACTGTCCAGTTTGACCAATGTACATGGCAGAGGGGCATTGCTGGCACATGATGGCATATATCACATTGGTGGATGTGCAGGTGAACGAGCCTCTGATAGTGTGGCTGATGTTATTAGGCCCTGTGATGGTGTCCCCTGAACAGATATGTGGACACAGTTGGCAACGGGCTTTGTTGCAAGGATAGGTTCCTGGGTTAGTGGTTCTGTTGTGTGGTGTGTGGTTGCTGGTGAATATTTGCTTCAGGTTGGGGGCTATCTGTAGGCAAGGACTGGCTTGTCTCCCAGGATTTGTGAGAGTGTTGGGTCATCCTTCAGGATAGGTTGTAGATCCTTAATGAGTTGGAGAGGTTTTAGTTGGGGGCTGAAGGTGACGGCTAGTGGCGTTCTGTTATTTTCTTTGTTAGGCCTGTCCTGTAGTAGGTAACTTCTGGGAACTCTTCTGGCTCTATCAATCTGTTTCTTTACTTCTGCAGGTGGGTATTGTAGTTGTAAGAAAGCTTGATAGAGATCTTGTAGGTGTTTGTCTCTGTCTGAGGGGTTGGAGCAAATGCGGTTGTATCGCCGAGCTTGGTTGTAGACGATGGATCGTGTGGTGTGGTCAGGGTGAAAGCTGGAGGCATGTAGGTAGGAATAGCGGTCCGTAGGTTTCTGGTATAGGGTGGTGTTTATGTGACCATCGTTTATTAGCACTGTAGTGTCCAGGAAGTGGATCTCTTGTGTGGACTGGACCAGGCTGAGGTTGATGGTGGGATGGAAATTGTTGAAATCATGGTGGAGTTCCTCAAGGGCTTCTTTTCCATGGGTACAGATGATGAAGATGTCATCAATATAGCGCAAGTAGAGTAGGGGCTTTAGGGGACGAGAGCTGAGGAAGCGTTGTTCTAAGTCAGCCATAAAAATGTTGGCATACTGTGGGGCCATGCGGGTACCCATAGCAGTGCCGCTGATCTGAAGGTATACATTGTCCCCAAATGTAAAATAGTTATGGGTAAGGACAAAGTCACAAAGTTCAGCCACCAGGTTAGCCGTGACATTATCGGGGATAGTGTTCTTGACGGCTTGTAGTCCATCTTTGTGTGGAATGTTGGTGTAGAGGGCTTCTACATCCATAGTGTTCCGGATGGTGTTATTAGGAAGATCACCGATGGATTGTAGTTTCCTCAGGAAGTCAGTGGTGTCTCGAAGGTAGCTGGGAGTGCTGGTAGCGTAGGGCCTGAGGAGGGAGTCTACATAGCCAGACAATCCTGCTGTCAGGGTGCCAATGCCTGAGATGATGGGAAGCCCAGGATTTCCAGGTTTATGGATCTTGGGTAGTAGATAGAATATCCCAGGTCAGGGTTCCAGGGGTGTGTCTGTGCGGATTTGATCTTGTGCTTTTTCAGGGAGTTTCTTGAGCAAATGCTGTAGTTTCTTTTGGTAATTCTCAGTGGGATCAGAGAGTAATGGCTTGTAGTTCTTTCCCAGACTCTCTCCAAGCTCCTTGCCCAGCTCATGTACGTTTCTGCCATCCCCTTCTGGCTCCTCATCTGATCCGTCTCTCTCTCCTGCATCATAGCCTACAGCCACCCCACTGTCCAGCACATTCCCCAAGCCAACTGACTCCCAGTCCCAATCTCCTGGACCAGCCAGTCTCAGTCTCACCTACCCCAACTCCCAGTCCCAGTTTCCATATCTCCCTTCACTCCAGGCTCCTTGCCCTAGTCCACTCCCTCCCAGGCCCCACTGTAGGTCTAGCTCTTGTCCCCTCAGCTTTTGAATCAGGCAGCTTCCTCCTTCACGCTAACTGGGCCCAGCACAGGGGTCATTCAGAGCACAGGAGAGACAGGCTCCCTGTCTCAGGTCAGGTGCCTGGACCCAGACCTGACACAGCCTGCAGAGATGCAATTCCAGGTGCTGCTCAGTTCAGGGCTGGTACATGCCCTGTGCAGACAGAATCTTCAGGGACATTAGATGCTAAAATCTACAGAGTCTCTACTGATCATGTGCAAATTATGATTTTTCAAAGACTAAATTTGGCTTGGCCATATTTGGGCAGACTTTTATGAGGACAGCAAAGAGCACATTTTTGATACACAGGCCTCCACTCTGCCAAATTTCAAATGCTGCTTTAAAGCATGGACATGCTAGTTTTTCAAAGAAAAGGTTCAAAGAATTTTTAACATTGGCAAAACAATGTATTTTTCCCTAGCCTTGATCTTGGAAATGGCCAAACTGTTCGGAAGATTTTAGCCCAAATGGTAAAAGTTTAGCAAAGTCAGTAGCCACTGAAAAACCGATTCTTAAAATGGGAAGTATTGGGCATGCTACCAGTCCTGCCTATAAACACAATTAAATATTCTGCATATATATTCTCTCTGCCTCATTTTTTTCCCATCATGAAATGGAGATCATGTTATTTAACCTTCTTTCTAAAGCACTTAAAGAGCAATGGCTTTGAAAAATTGGTATGTTAATTAAGAGTCTAACTAGCCAGGATAGTGTACCACTACTCCTCACAAGTCATGCCCCTCCTCCCAAACCTATGCTCTCTTCAATTTAAAGGAATAAACCAGTTATGTACTATTCACTGTTTGGTGTATTTAACTGTAACACTGTCAATCAACTTTCTATTTAATACATTTTATATACATAAAAATTTACTAGTAGAGCTGGTGAATTACAGAAAAATATTCATCTTCTATTATTCAACAAATCATATGTAAGCCAACTATAGAGCAAACTCTGTTGAAAACTGTCAAATAAGAAATTCACCCAATACTACTTACTACACCCCTTATTGGTTTTACTTTCTTTTGCCCTTCCTGGCTTTGCTCTGTGTTTGTTTCCTATAAGAGATCATGGTATATCTTTTCCTAAGTTGTCTTCAATGTCTGTTTCCACTTTTTCCTGTTCTCTTTCTCTCTTTCCTTACATTGTGCCCTCTACCTTTCCTAAATATATTCTGTCTCCTTCCATATCTCATTTCTCTCTCCCACTCTTTATACTACACTTTTTTTCCCCCTTACTTTCCCCCTCAATCTCTCTCATGTCCACCTCCACACCCACACATAGAATTTGGAAATTTTATCCCACACCTACTAGTTAAAGGCTAAAATAAAACTTGGAGGGCTCCCAAGGGAAGACAATATTTCTAAAATAAAATTTTCTGTAAACTTTAGAGCTGTGGATTAATCGCAGTTAACTCACACAATTAACTCAAAAAAATTAATCACAATTTAAAAAAATAATCGCAGTTTTAATCGCACTGTTAAACAGTAGAATACCAATTGAGATGTATTAAATATTTTTGGATATGTTTCCACATTTTCAAATACATTGATTTCAATTACAACGCAGAATACAAAGTGTACAGTGCTCACTTTATATTATTTTTATTACAAATATTTGCACTGTAAAAGCGATAAACAAAAGAAATAGTATTTTTCAATTCACCTCATACAAGTACTGTAGTATACTCTCTTTATCGTGAAAGTGCAACTTACAAATGTAGATTTTTTTGTTACTTAACTGCATTAAAAAAAAACAATGTTAAACTTTAGCGCCTACAAGTCCACTCAGTCCTACTTCTTGTTCAGCCAATCACTAAGAGAAATAAGTGTGTTTACATTTACGGGAGATAATGCTGTTTGCTTCTTATTTACAATGTCACCTGAAAGTGAGAACAGGCATTCACATGCCACTTTTTGTAGCTGGCATTGCAAAGTATTTAAATGCCAGATATGCTAAACATTCGTATGCTTCTTCATGCTTTGGCCACCATTCCTGAGGACATGCTTTCATGCTGACGACGCCCGTTCAAAAAATAATGCATTAATTAAATTTATGACTGAACAACTTGGGGGAGAATTGTATGTTTTCTGCTGTTTTACTCGCATTCTGCCATATATTTCACGTTATAGCAGTCTCAGACGATGACCCACCACATGTTGTTCATTTTAAGAACACTTTCACTGCAGATTTGACAAAATGCAAAGAAGGTACCACTGTGAAATTTCTAAAGATCGCTACAGCACTCGACCCAAGGTTTAAGAATCTGAAGTGCTGTCCAAAATCTGAGAGGGACAAAGTGTGGAGCATGCTTTCGGAAGTCTTAAAAGTGCAACACTCTGATGTGGAAACTACAGAACCCAAACCACCAAAAAGGAAAATCAATCTTCTGACTCAGATGATGAAAATGAACATGCGTCGGCCCGCACTGCTTTGGATTATTATCTAGCAAACCCGCCATCAGCATTATCTCCTGCAAATGTAAACAAACTTGTTTGTCTGAGCAATTGGCTGTACAAGAAATAGGACTGAGTGGACTTTCTAGGCTCTAAAGTTTTACATTGTATATTTTTGAATGCAGTTATTTGTTTGTCCATAATTCTACATTTGTAAGTTCAACTTTCATGATAAAGAGATTGCACTACAGTACTTGTATGAGGTGAATTGAAAAATACTATTTCTTTTGTTTTTTACAATACAAATATTTGTAATAAAAATAAATATAAAGTGAGCACTGTACACTTTGTATTGTGTTGTAACTGAAATCAAAATATTTAAAAATGTAGAAAACATCCAAAAATATTTAAATAAATGGTTTTCTATTGTTGTTGTTGAACAGTGCGATTAATTGTGCGATTAATTTTTTTAATCGCTTGACAGCCTTAGTAAACTTCTTTGTGAAGAAAACAAAGCAGAGTGCATTGCATTAACTCCTGTGAAAAGATCTGAGTCACTAGACAACTTACATATAAGCATATCCAATGCCAGTGAACCATAGCAGTCTCAAAGTTATTTATAGTCTCTGCTACTTAAAATTTATGTAAGGGTTTTCCCCAGGGCCTTCACAGTCACACAGATCCAGCATCATACAAAATAATTATAGCTGACTCTTACCCGATAACCTCTCCAGAATGATTGAATTATTTTGCATGCTTCTTCTTCCGATAATAGGAGAGACAGTGGAATTGGTGGTCTAGGACTAAAAGAAAAAAAAAATAAAAATTGTTCAGCCTTTAAAAATTTTTCTTCCTCCTTTACAATATATCACCCCCAAAAGAGAAAGATTGTTCTGTATCTCTAAGATACAATTTCTTAATACTCCAAAATAAAAAAGTATTACTTAAATAATGTGCCCTTTTAAAACACTAATACAGATACAGTATTATACAAATTGTTTCTTCTCCACAAACACCATAATGTCAATAATATATCAAGGACACTATTGTTCTGAATTTCCTTCAAGTGTTTTTATTCCTGCATTTTTATTATTTGGTTATTTTTTACTATTTATAAACACTGAAGGGCATGGCTGCAGTAATGGAGTGTACAACTCACAGAGGATCTTTATATGCAGTGTAGACATGCCACTCAAATACATTTTATTCCATAAAACCATTTGAATTACATTCTATGTTCTTTTTAGACTGAATTGTTTTGTTCTGAAAGGATTACTGTTACCATAACCATGTACAAGAAGTCGCAGAGACATGTCTTAACAAGGTCATAAAACAAATGTGACAATTTTACCTTTGAAATAGTCAGACAAACCTGGCATTGTAAGGGGCCAGAGGAATACAAAGGAAAAGAACTCAACTATTAATTTTCAGCATAAATTGATGGTGATTTGAAAGCATTTACAGTAAATTCTGCTACCAGTCCTAATGAGAATCACTTTACAGTGTAATTAGGTTTCAGTGAATTCAGCTTTACAAAAGCCATTTCACCATGCTTGTTGATGTGTTTAGCTCTCATTTATACTGATCAACAAGCAGCCAGTTGAAAGGATCAGACTGAAAGTAATTTATTTGGTTTTCTTTGATTTTTTTTCCAAAGGTAAGAAAATGTCACACCTCACACTTTAAAAAAATAAATAAAGAAAAAAGTCACTGGGCTGCAGATAAATGTTACAACTCATAAGAGTGCCCATTATAAACAGCTGACTTCCCATGACACTAGAATACCTAGTAGAACTTGCTCTGTCCTAAAAAAAAAAAAAAAAAGAGTCACAGTTTGAGCTTCTGTGCACAAGTTTGATTTGAGAAGTTCAAAGTTTTATGAATCTGGATGATGCAGGTGATCATTTGGACATAATCAAACAAGTGTTTGCCCAAATCAGTCCTTATAACAGAATCCTGTTGTTTCTTTTTTACAGAAATAAGAGATGGAAGTAACCGATAAGGCAATACTCTTTCCAGTGCGGGTTTGTTCCTTACAGTCTGTCCCCAAATGCTTTGTCTAGTACAACTTTAATTGACCAAAAGACTGGTTCTTCCACCATGTCCTTTGGAAGACTATTCTACAACATAATAGATCTCATATTAGGAGGTTTTTCCATATATTCAGCTCCATTTTCCTTTGCTTAGTTTCATTTATATTCGTCCCTACCGTAGTAAGTTTTCTTTGCCTTTTGAGACCTTTGTCTTAGGGCTTGTCTTTTCTGGAGAATACTTCACTGGAGAAGTACATCGAGCTAGAACATGGCCTCACGGGTGGTGGGTGAACTATGGGCTCAGGGAGACTAACCCCCAGCCTGGCCTGCCCCTTCTGCCTGAGGACCTGTCCCTCCCGCCCTCCTTCCCCCACTGAAGCCCGAGTGCTCCTAGCCCCAGAGCGCTAGGTGAGCAGCACGTGGCCCCCAGCATAGCCTGGCATAGACTTCCCCAGCCTATGATATGTGCGGTCCATGCATGACCTTAATTATTAACTAATACAAAGCTGACCTCAACTCTACAGTCAGTGTACACAGGAACAAATTGTGCTCAACATCCTGTTGACTGAGATTTTTGCCTTCATTTATTTTATATGAAAGAAAATCTCAATCTGTGTCTGGGACATGAGAAATGCAGACAATAGCAGGAAGAGACAAGCTTTTGAGTTGATGACACCGCCCACAATTTCAGTCCTCACCAGTCATAAGAAAAACGAACCATCTGAATGGACACTCCATAGCAGATGAAACCATGCTCTTGATCATTACATTGATTGCTTTCTGGAAAAAAATTGACTGTGAAATCCTTAACAAACATCAGATTCTCCACAATCTCGTCACTGCTGAGAGGACAGCTATACAGCCCCTGAAATCCAACCACTAGATAGTAATGAAACCAACAGACAAAAGAGGCGCCATCGTAGTCCTCAGCCATGACTATGTTAATGAGGCCAACCAACAACTCTCCAACACCATCTATTATAAAGAACTCAAAGAAGACACCACACCACAATTTAACTAGGAATTTAAGGATATCATCAAATCCTTCCAAAACAACTCCAAGAGAAACTCTACAATCTCATTCCCCACGAACCCACCCCAGGGAGCGTCTACATACTTCCCAAAATACACAAACAAGGGAATCCAGGCAGAATCTGGCCATGGCACTCTTCCGGAACATGGCACTCTGCCAGAACAGACGCAAAACCTTCAGACAAACCTCCACTGCTACCATTATCAACACCGCCCTCAACATAGCTTTCAAGATGCATGGGTCCTACCCATGCCTATCATGGCATGTCATGTACCTCATCCAGTGCACTAACTGCCCAAATAAAAACTATGTGGGTGAAACCAGACAATCATTACACTCTCAGATTAAAATGATAGAAGACAGAAACACCATATCATCTGCTGGTAAACACTTTGACCTCTCAGTCCTCATCCTCAAAGGAAACCTGCACAACACCTTCAAAAGATGAGCCTGGGAGCTTAAATTTGTAACTTTGCTGGACACTAAAAATCATGGATTGAATAGCAACACTTGGTTTATGGTTTATTACAACAATGTATAATCCACTAACACCGTTCCCCTCCCCCCAGCTTCCCTGCCCCTTCCTCCCCCCCATGACTGCAGAGGTGTTAACAGGCCACTTCACCTTGAATGGTCCCTTGAAATATGTGTTAACTACTTATGCTAAACAGTCTGTTCCACCTTGTAGTCAGCTGTGACACTGAATACATTTCCCAGACCTGAAGAAGAGCTCTGTGTAAACTCGAAAGCAGGTCTCTCTCACCAACAGAAGTTGGACCCATAAAAGATATTACCTCACCCACCTTGTCGCTCTCTTTTGTAATGTGTTCATCTATGAATTTAGAGACTGTGCTGTTTTTGCTGATGGACTCCTGCCTGTTGTTCTAAGATTTATCTTTTTGAAAAGGTCTCTATTTTAAACAATGCAAATGAGGACACCAACCTATACATTTTAAAATACAGCAGGTATACAGAAAAACAATGAGCTTTCACTGGTAATGGAACATTAGACTCCTTTGCATCAGAATGGCATCTCCAAAAAGCAGAGTGTAGTCTTGCAACAGTACCTCTAGCCACTCCACTGCTTTTGTTATTAAATAATGGGAATCTATCTGGTTTGCCATCCAAGACCAAATCTGAGAAAGCCAGTGTAAATCAAGCAAAATGGAAAGGACTTAATCTTCAGTGTGGCAGTCACTAGGAAATATCAATCATTTCAGCAGACTAGCTTGAAGGAACAGGAATGAAAGTCATGCCAGGTCCATTTCTGTCCACTGGAATATATGCAATTGGCTTCAGGTCAAATAAAAATAGAATATGAGCAGAGGCAGCCACCCATCAACAGTGAATCGGGGAAGAGGGAATATGTCATTTGTGGCAGAAGACAGCTGTAACACTCCAAGAAGATTTGAATGATAACCAAATGTACGGTAAATGTATTCTGTTTATTTCAAAATAAAAGAGCTTCAAATCATGTAGAGTCTTAAAAGCCAATTCTTAATACACAATGTAGAATATGTTTTACATTAAAAATGGCTACAATATAATAATCTTTCTGAATAACGTGTTGGTTATTATCACAGTTTTTCACATTTTACCAAATTTTACCAAAATAAAGCAGGAATTGACCAGAAGAATCTTTAATGTCAGGAAGGATGTGCTTTGCTTTCTAAGGAATCAGGCTTGTAAGGATCCCGATAATGAGATATCTATTATTTACATAACATTATGCAGATGTAATTCAGTATGCAGAAGAAATACTGCACATTTGTGTTAGAAAAGTGTATGAAATATTACAAAGGGTTCTTATCGAAGCTCCCAGTTTTATATCTGTGATTTCTATATTGAACTCAGAAGTTTGCTTTCATAATGTCAGTCCTGTTCTTAAAAAAGGGGTGGGGGGAAAAGCATCCATGTCAGGATAGGTTTCAGAGTAGCAGCCGTGTTAGTCTGCATCTGATGAAGTGAGCTGTAGCTCACGAATGCTTATGCTCAAATAAATTCGTTAGTCTCTAAGGTGCCACAAGTACTCCTTTTCTTCATGTCAGGATAGTGGGATGTGTGTGGTCGTTGGTAAGCACATTGACCTATACTATAGGTACCCAATATCTGTATTACTATAATGCGCAGAGGCCCCAATCAGGTTTAAGGCCCCATTCTGCTGTATAAACATCAGATCTGGTCCCTTCTTTGAGCTATTTACAATCTAACGGTCATTTTATTTTTCTCTCCTCTTTTATTTGCTTGTATTATCATGCAGAGTTTTCACCACGTATAATTCAACATTTGTTAATTGCTCTTTGCACTCAAATCCAATATATTACTTAACGGCAACTGAAAATCTCCAAATTTAGGCCCCAGTCTTACCTGCATACAATCAGTGTACACTGCAGCATGTGTGTGTAGGCCTGGCTAGACATGAGCAATTAGACGTGGGTAAGGTCTCATTTCTTGGGAGACAGGATTAGGGATGTAAATGGATCAGTAGGCTGGAAACTAACTGATTGTGCTAAAATAGGTAAATGGCTCAGTAAGCTAAGAGACAGAACACCCAGGGAACCATTTACAATGGAACATAAGATGAGGCAAAGAGTAAGTCGTAGATGGACAGTGCATGGACAGAGACTGCTGTACAGGACTTGGTTCCTACAAAGTAACCAAGTCAATCCCGAAATGTGTAATGCAATGTACAGTAAGTGCAAGGAAATCTGGGAACGTATATAAAGGAAGAGGTTTT